AGCATAGAAGGTATAATTAGTAAGTTCACAAATGATATGAGAATTGGTGGTGTCGTTGATAGTGGGGAGGATGGCCACAGGCTACAGCCTGATATTGATCAGCTGTTAATTGGGCAGAACGATGGCAGATGGAATTTTATATCAATAAGTGTGAGGTGATGCATTTTGGGTGGTCTAATAAGGCAATGTTATAAACAATGAACGGTAGGTACCCAGGGAGTATTGAGCAACAAAGGGACCTTGATGTACACGTCTATAGATCTCTGAAGGATTCAGCACATGTAGACAGGGCGGTGAAAAAGGCATACGGGATACTTCCTTTCAGGATGTAGAAGATAGGACCAAGGAAGTCAAGTTGTTACTTTACAGAGCATGGGTCAGGCCACAGATAGAATACTGTGTGCAGTTCCGGTCACCACACCATTGGAAGGATGTGATTGCACCGGAGAGGGTGCAGAGGAGATCCACCAGGATACTGCCTAGATGGAAAGTCTCATGTGAGGAGAGATGGGATAGACTGGGTTTGTTTTCCCTGGAGCAGAGGTGAATGAGGGGGCATCTGATTGAGGGATACAGAATTATAAGAGGCATTGGCAGAGTAGATCATGAGAAACTTTTCACCATGGCAGATGAGTCTAAGACCAGAGGCCATAGGTTTAAGGTGAAGAGTAAATGGTTTAGGGGGGATTTGAGGACTTTTCTTTTCCCAGAGGGTAATGGAAATGTTGGAACTGCTGCCTTAGATGTTGGTAGTGGTAGGTACTCTCACAACATTTAAGAAGTATCCAGACAAGCACTTAAAATGCCATGACATTGTAGGCTATGGACCAATAACAGGCAAATGGGATTTGTATAGTTTGGTGTTTGTCTGTTGCCATCGATATGGTGGGCTGAAGGTGCTGTTTCTATTCTGTCTGACTCTACAACTCGGACTCAATGTTTAAGGCATTTCCAGGTTTGCCAAAATGTGAAGAGAACGATGTTGAAGCATTTTTCATTTTGTTTGAGACAATGGCAACACAAGTTGAGGTGTCTAAAAGCAGATTGGAGCTTGCCCATGCAAAGTAAATGAACTGGGAAAGTGCAAGAGATTTCTCCATCCCTGTCAGAGCAATATCCTCGGGAATATGAGCAGGGGATAAAGGCTATCGTAAGCACATAACATACAGACTGAGGTTTCAGAAATTACAGAGACAACCTGGACAAACTTCAACTCAGTTTGAGAGAATTAAACAAAATAATTTTGTCAGATGGATAAGAGCATTAAAGGCTAAGAATACTTACAATGCTCTCAGAGAAATTATTCCTTGAGAAAAATGTAAAACATCTTTCCCTTCTAGAATCAGAGTTCATTTAGAAGACCAAAGGGGAATAACAGCAAGACAAGGAGCTATAATGGCTGATGGTTCTAGACTGATCCAGAAACCTTTATCCTGTCAGCACCAGAAATGGGAGAAAAATAAAAAGTGGGAGAGTGTAAGGAAGGCAGGTAGCCAGGGGAGAGAACGGACAGCAGAGAACAGCCTGAGAACTCCTCCTCAGATTAAGAAGGAAATTGCCGAAGGTGGAGGTGACGTTCGGAAGCTTAAATGTTTCTCATGGAATAAGTTGAGCCAAGTGCATTTGGAATGTTGGAAGCGGTGAGGTAGACCCATGGAACTTATAGGAGTTAGTAAAAATGGGTCAGAGAAGGGAACGATAGTCCCACCGACCAGGTTGTGACTCTAACTGTAATAAAAAGGCCGGAGGTAAATTCTGTCATTAGTAAAGGAAGCTGTAAGGTAGATGAGAGGTGGACAGGACTTTTATCAAAAGGAATGGTGACTCCTTTTTCTTCCGGTGAAACAGCTAAATCCAGAACCAAACTGAGAGATACAAGGGCAACACAATCACTTTTACTGTAGAAAGAATTGATTTTCCCTCCGGAGAGCTCAATGGGAGCTAAGGTATTAATAAAAGGGATTGGTGGAGAATATATTCAGCATCCATTATATAAAGTACAACTTGAATGTGATTTGTTATCAGGAGAAGTTACTGTCAGAGTGGGAAAAATATTCCCTGTGGAGGCAGCCAGTTTCCTTCTGAGTCATGATTTGTCAGGACTAAAGGTAGTAGCTTCACCGATAATTACAGAATGCCCAAAGGAGGTCCAAGAAACAGAACAATGACAGGAACAGGTTCCTGGTCTCTCTCCTTTGTGTGTGGTAACGAGGGCAATGGTTAAACACAATCCATCAATACGGGTTGATGTGACACCACAAGCAAATGAAAAGAGAGCTGAAACTTTCCAAAAGGGTGAAGATAATCTAGGTGGAGTGTTTGGTATGATGTCCCTAATTACAGCAGATCCCAAAAGCAGATCCTGAATGAAATAAATTAGCACAGTCAGCTCATACTGAGGTTGAGGCTGAAGGAGTTGCAGAATGCTATTATCTTCAGAACGGAGTGCTGCTGAGGAAGTAGAGAACCCCCTTAATAGACTCGCAGATGATGAATAGTCAGTTAGACGTCAGCTAGTGGTACCGCCCAGCTATCGTAGGGAGATATTGTGAGGGGCACATGAGATGCCCATGGTGGGACACGTGGGCATTCAAAAATACAGGCGTCCAGAAACAGGTATTTTATCTGGCCAATACCTGTCCAACGTTGTATAAAGATGTGGCGCAGTTTTATAACGTGTCATACTTGTCAAGTTGCAGGTAAATGTGATGACACCAGCATCCTTAATTCCTCTCCCAGTTTGTGAGGAACCATTCAGTCGTGTACCGTGTGTCAAGTAATGAGTGTAGTAGAGGAGGGGATGAGAAAAGGAATGAGAGCTAGAGAATTGGACAATTCCCAAAGTGTACGTCCTACTATTAGAGGAACAAATTCAGGGATATTAGAGAATTCAGACACTGTATTATTGTATCTGAAAAAAGGATCAGCAGAGAGATAGAGTGAGGTTGCTCAGAAAATACAAAGCAGTTTGTATGAGGAGTGGTTGAGGCCTCTGGATCTTTACTCAATGGAGTTTTGAAGGATGAGGTGGAATGTCATTGAAACTTACATAATACTGAGAGGCCTGGAAAAGAGTGGACATGGAGAAGATACTTCTCTGAGGTGGAGAGACTAGGACCTGAGGTCACTGCTTCAGACTGAACAAACGATACTTTAGAACTGAGATAAGGAGGAGTTTCTTTAGTGAGAGAGTGGTTAATCTGTGGAACTCATTGCCACAGAGGGCTGCAGGGGCCAAGTCATTGAGTGTACTTGTGACAGAGATAGACAGGTTTGTGACTGGAAAGGGGATCGAGGACAACAAAGAGAATGCAGGAGAATGGGGTTGACAAACAAAACAATCTGATCAAATGGCAGAGCAGACCCAATGAGCCGAATGGCCTAATTCTACTCCTGTACATGGTCTTTTAAAGATACGCTTGGATGTGTGATGTTAATCAATCAGGACGTGGATGTAGGTAATTCAGACCCAATGAAACAAAACCCATTTTGATTAAACTCGGAGAAACAGGCCAAAGTAACAAAAGAACTTCAATATTTGTTGGAGAATCGATTGATTGAACTGTCAGAGTCATTGGAGTTCTCCTGCAGTATTGATTCTGAAACCAGATAGTTCAATTAGATTCTGCGCAAACTACAGGAAAGTGAATGTAGTCACAAAGACAGATTTGTAACCTATTCCTGGATGAGAAGATTGCAGTGATAGGGTTGGTAGTGTGTCGTTGTTGTACAAATTTAAACTGTTAAAAGGTTATTGACAAGTACTCGCTGACAAGAAGAACTAAGGAAATTTCTGCATTTGTCACACTGGGTGGATTCTGTCAATGTCGCATGATGCCATTTGGACTTAAGATCGCTCCAGCCACATGTCAATGAGTTACTGCCAAAGCGAACAAGGTCAGCCTCCCTCACATTACACTCCATCTGCCCAATATTTCTCCAAAGCCCCGCTGGATGGACCTTCACTGGGAAAGAGTCGCTTGTAACTAGAATAATGACACTCCTCTGAGACTCACAGTAATAATCCTTTCATTTCTTCTATGGTAAATGCTCTGGTTTGGGCTTTGCTCTCTGTACAAACCATCTGTAATGTCTTTACTGTAAAGGTTCACATTTACATCATCAAACTTACACTCTAAATATCCTGTCATTATTCTTCATGGGATTCACTGGAATTGGATCAGATCAGACTCCCAGCCGCTCAGATGGAGGGAGGGATGGAGATCAAAGAGAGACAGAAAGACAGAGTTCAGAGAGAGAGATGTGATGGTGTTCAAGGAGGTGTGTAACTGAGATGAATTGAGCTCTGGCTGGAGACTGGTCTGGATGAGTGAACCCTTGACTGCACGCACTGGGCCCTGACTGATCCTTACACTGTAGCAAGGGATCTAGTGAGATGTCACCTCGATACTGGACAGGAACAGGGCCACTCCAGATCATTGGGGATCTCTGGTCAAGTTTTGGGAGTGAGTGGGAATGCTGGATCTGAGAGGGGAATCTCTTCCAGAACTGGGAAAATGTAACAATGAGAAACCAATCAGACGGAGACTAGTCCAGGAGAGAGAGAGGGAGGGAGGGGGTGTCAGTGCTGGGCACAGGAAACCAGCTCATGTTGTCCAAGAGGCTGAGTGGGCAGTTTCTGGTTAGAAACTAAAGCTTCTGCAGCTTTTCCTGGCTTCCAGCTCCATCATTAAAGCAGGAGCAGTTTCAACAGAGGGACCCCATTTCGCATCAACACACACTGACACCATCATCAGAACAGAAGGAATAGGGACAGCAGGAGGCCATTCAGCCCCTCCAGAGCTCCATGGAATAATGTACAAGTCGGCTTAATCTCTCCTCATAATACAATCACCTCATCGCAGGAATCAGTCTCGTGAATTTTTGCTGCACTCCTTCTGACTGAGTCTATCCTTCCGAAGGTAACGAGACCGAGATGGGACCCAGTGCTCCAGGTGTGGCCTCCACAATGTCCAATATAATTGTAAATGATTCCGTACCTCGGAGAAAACCAGCAGCTGGCTCAGAGTCTCTGGTTCCCTTTCCCTCTCTCGGTCTCTCCCTCCCTTTCTCTCAATCTCGATGCTGACTTCTACCTGTGAAGGGAAAAAGAGAAAGACATCTTTTCGAGAGGCTCCTGCACACCATGGACACTGTGCATTCCCCACTAATGACACTCCGTCCATCCACATTGAACTCATTGTTGAAGCTGCAGCCCAGCTCCTGTTCCTATCCGTATGTTTCAGTCAAGGAGACACAGAAGGTTCCAGCACAGGAGGAGGCTGTTCAGCCCCTTGTGTCAGTGCTAGCTGTTTACTAACCTCATTCACAATGAGCATCATTTGTTGTCTGTTATCGGGAAGTGATTGAATCTTTTTTAGAAACAGAATGACTGACAAATATGACCTGATCAGAAAGAGTCAGCATGGATTTAAGAAGGGTCAGACAGCTTCAATGGCTATGAAAAGTCACTACCTGGTCAGACAGCTGTGAAAGGGCACTGCCTGGTCAGCGGCTGTGACAGGGCACTGTCTGCTCAGTGGCTGTGAAAGGGCACTGCCTGGTCAGCGTCTGTGAAAGGTCACTGCCTGGTCAGCGTCTGTGAAAGGTCACTGCCAGGTCAGTGGCTGTGAAAGGGCACTGTCAGGTCAGCGGCTGTAACAGGGCACTGCCAGGTCAGCGGCTGTGAAAGGGCACTGTCTGCTCAGTGGCTGTGAAAGGTCACTGCTCCCTTTTCTCACCTCCCAAGTGGTACCTGCTCTCCATTTTTTTTAAAGTACTGCTGATTTGATTTTTCTTCCCCAAAATTCCAAAACAATGCAACAGCTTATAAAACAATAATTACT